ACACAGCAGACCTTCCGAAAACTAGTCTTACAATAACTTCAACATTTGCTGATGACACTGCCATTTTATGTCAATGGCTAGCAGATTGGCGCATAAAGGTTAAGGAGCAAAAGTGCAAACTCGTCACCTTTACCCTTAATAGACAATCTTGCCCCACACCATCTCTGAACAACATCCATGTTCCTCAAAAAACGGAAGTAACTTATCTTGGAGTCCACCTCGATAGAGGGCTTACTCAGAAAAGGCACATCGAAGGCATGAGAAAACAATTGAAATTAAAAGCAAGAAGCCTACACTGGTTAATAAATGCTCGCTCTCCGCTTAAATTGGAGTGCAAGGTAATTTCAGTTCTCAAACCAATTTGGAAATACGGCTCCGAGCTATAGGGGAACGCATACGTTAGTAACCTAGATGTGATCCAGAGAGCCTAATCAAAGATACTGAAAACTATAACTTGTACTCCGTGGTACATACGGAATGAAAACATTCATAGAAATTTAAACGTGGGATCTGTTAAAGAGGAAATTCACAATGTAAACACACGACTCCGCCGAAGAGATCTCCCCACCCAGCAACAATAGCTAGGTCCGTTATTCCAAAAAAAAAACTTAATTTTAATTAATTAATTATATGTATTAAGCTAAAATTTATACCCCGTAATTAAAAAAAAATTATGAACCGCAATTTTCGGTTCCCCGAACAGGGTCGCGTAATGGTCGAATAGTTTTTTGAGTTGGGTTTATTTTCCACCGGAAACCACATGGTTTAAAAACCCATGCCCCGTCATAGTGATTTTAAGTGAAGGTGAAGGAGAGTAAGAGATCCCGGACCTTCGTTCTTCCTCACATCAGGAGCGTCGCCACCGCCGCGCCAACCAGGATCGCCGCGCACATCAGGAGCGCCGCGCACACCACCGCGCCCACCCAGGAGCGTCGCCACAACCGCACCCACGTCAGTACTGCCCGGCACACACGCGCTAGGAATGACCGCAAGGTGACCTCCAGGAGACGCATCATCAGCGACGCCGACACTCCTCAGCAGCGCTGCACCGATCAGCGGTACCCCATGGAGTAGCACCTCACCATTAGCGTGTAACAGCGCGGTCACTTGCTTGCCAGGCCGCGGGTGCGGGCCGAACTATGTCGAGCAAATCAGCAAAGCAGGCGTCGGTAGACTCAGAGCGGAAACCCGTTCCGCTGGAAGGGAGGAAATTTTCCCCACACCCCACAGCGAATCTACGACTGCAACTATGGTGGTCAAATGGATCGCTTATCGAACGGAAGGCCAATATACCGGAAAGCAAGGAAACCCCATGCCTGCTCCGAAGACACATGTCCCACTAGTCTCTACCGGGCGGCATCCAAGGCCAGACCTCGCAGGAGGACACACCACGGGAACCCAAGGAACCGCTTTTTCAGAGTCAGGAAACGCAGACGACCTACAGCCACAAGCGAATACCACCAGCACTAAGACCATGGACCCTTCTCGCAGATGCCCCATAGCAAGACTTTTGATACCCCGTCAGTAACACCAGAGCCCTGCCAGAAAATCGGCAGATACAAGTTGCCAGCCCGCGCAGATGCTACCATCGGACGGAAGCACAACCAATTCCGGAGCCAACATCCGAGAGACGTCATGACGATAGGACCCTCCATTTCCTAAAGGGTGAGTTACAGCTTTTCGACAAGCTCAGCGGACAATTGCGGAACATACATCACTCTCGGAGATGACAAACCGTCGAAACAGCGGTATTATCCAAAGAGCCTGGCCATGCAGAAGATCATGAACGAACAAGTGGACGAATGACTACGAGACTGCGCATTCTATACCCGATGCGTACCCACTTCTTCTCATCTTGGAACGACAACGAAACGCGCGTTTCATCTCCAAGCTGGATCTGAAGAATTGATACTGGTAGATTCATGTGGCGGAAGCTAGGAATGCACAGCGTCCACCGTGCCCGGCCTTTGACTTTCCCACTGGATGCCTTTCGGATCATGCCTTTCGGACTCCATTCCGCACCAGCGACGTTTCAGCGCGCTCTCGACAGTGTCATTGAACCAGACATGGAGCCGCACGTTTTCGCTTACTTGAATGATATCATCGTCATCCGTGCGACGTGGAAAGCAAAACTACGGGTAAACCAAAACAAGTGCAAGTTATTCCAGAGGGAGTAAGGGAGTAAGTATACTTAGGCCACCCAATCAGTGAGGAAGGCATCAGGACCAGACTTCTAAGGAAGGGAATTAAGTGGCACTGGGAAGAACCTCAACGGCAAGCACTTAAAGACGTCAAGGCCCGCCTTACAGCCACGCGAGTGTTGGCCCCAAATTTCGAGCACAAGTTCCAACTATAAACGGACGCCAGCGATAAAGGGCTCAATATATCAAGGGGGATGAGATGGACTCAGACGATGTTGGAGAACATTTAGAAACAGCCGGAGAAGTTTCCGAACGAGCCAAGCGACTTCAAGAAGCTTTCCGCGCCGCCCTGGAGGCCAACCAGGGTCGTCACAACCTACGACGACGCGAGTGGCGACCGCAACTCGGGTCACAGGTGATAGTTCGACAGCATCACCTGTCAAAGGCTAGTGAGGCGGACAACGGCCCCCACTTCAGCAGGCGATTCGCGAGGCCAACCTCGCCTGGAAAGGCTACGGCAGCTATGCCGACCCAGGGCCTGGGGAGGACGAGCTGGAAAGTGGGCTGAGCTCCTACACCGACGTCAGCAAGCCCGAAGACGATGTGGAAGTTCCCGAACCCATGGTAGCCGAGGGTCTTAGTGTAGTAGGGAGGCCGACGACGCAGCACCGCGTAATCCACCCAACTCACCGGCGCGGGCTTCACCTCGCACACCATCTACAACTGCTCTTGAGTGACGGAGAGGAGGACGAGGCCCTGCTAAGGGAGGGTCCAGAGGCCGGCCAAATATTATATTATATTTGAGGAAACACAGTGACTCTCCGGCTGGAGAGTCGCTACGCACGAACGCCGCCTTCCCCCAAGTCTGATCGCGTCCATCCAGGAAAAGGACAGACGGAGGGTGCGCTACCTCCGTGAAGTGGACGGTCTTCGCTTCCGAGTCACACTCACCGCCGGTCGAGAAGTGATTGTCTTACTGAGACAAAAACGAAGCCTGGACTAGGACAAAACATCTGCCCGTCAACGGCTAGTACAGGTTTGGATCGTCTCGCCGAAGGACCAACAGGAAAAAAAAACACGAAGTAAAGGAGGGTGTGAGGATGGATGAACCCACCCTCACATTCCACGCACACATGGCGCCCCATCCCTGATCGTTCAAACGCCCGCACATTCCTACATACATATATTCTTTAACCCATATTGTTATTCGCACATACAAAGCCATTAGTTCGTAAGATCATATATATCCACTAGCTCATAAGATCATATATGTGTATTATATATTATTATCTCAGTGGCCGGATGCAAAGAGTCCTTTTTGAAAAATTCCTTAAGAAGTCTCCTCAGAGTTACCTCTGATGTACCACAAGGAAGCCACCTGGGACCATTACTTTTTACCCTGTTTATTAATGATCTTCCATTGGTCATTGCGCATTCCCGTATACTTATGTTCGTGGATGATGTAAAACTGTGTCTGCAATATAATGAATACTCTCGTCATTTAAACCTTCAAGCAGATTAAGAAATTTTCAAAACTGGTTTTGTCGAGTCAATCCACATAAACCTATACGCTTAGTGGGAATACCTTGGCGTCCTTTTCGACACTAAAATTAAATTCCCACTTCATATTTTCAACATGGTTAATAAAGCTAGGGGAATGCTTGGATTTGTTAAACGATGGACAAAGAAATTCGAGAATCCTTACGTTAACAAGGCTTTATTCGTATCATTGGTCCGGCCAATCCTTGAGTATTGGGCACCCGTTTGGAGTCCTCAATACGGAGTACATGTTGATCGCATAGAAGCAGTCCAAAAAAACTTTTTAATTTTTGCCCTACGCCGCCTAAACTGGAATGCAAACCTTTTCCTACCCTCCTTTTCTAATAGATTGCTCCTCATTAACTTGCTCTCCCTTGCTAATCGTATAACGCTTGGTACTGTGTTTATTCATAACCTTTTACGTGTTGAAATTGACAGTCCTTACTTGTTAAGTAGACTAAATTTCTCGATTCCAAGTATTATAGATTAACTAGAAATTATGTTCCTTTAGTTTTAAATCTTTGTGGATCTAATTATGACGTGCATGAGCCTTTCAGGGTACTTTGTTCGGACTATAATAGACTGTTTTATATAGTATCTTCTTCTGACTCTCTGCGGCTCCTAAAGCAATTTATACTAACATGGCATGCATGGCACCATGGTACAATCCATGGTACAATTATACAAGGTAGTCTCGTCGGTTGCAAAATTGTTCGGGTTCTATGGCTCAGTGCGCTCGGGTTTTCGAAGTGAGAGGTTGTCCGCGGACGATTTTTTCTCAAGACGTTAACCCTTGTGTGCTTATGAAAAAATACTTGTTGCAATTATTCCAGCAAGCACATACAAGGCGTAACATTTACTATTGCAGAAAAATGTTTTAAGGGGGGACAATATAGGAGCGAATCCTGAGGAACAGCTCTGAGCACAAACCATAAATTACGGAACAGTTAGTTTTCATTTTCACATAACAGTTCTAACAGTTTTAAACTCCCATGCACAGCATAAGGGCAAAACGACATCATCTTCTTTTTTTCCTTTCGCACTTATAAGAAAACATCTTCTCACAAGTGCACAATAGGAGAGTGACGCAGCCGACGAGACTACCTTGTACTTATTATACCATGGCACTGTGCGTGATCTTTCTCTCTCGATCTTTCTCACTTGCTTGCTTACTATTCTCACTCCATCTCTAGTTGCTACACAACTGTTCGCCCTGTCGTACTCTCTCTCAATAGGTCTCGATCGCAATTGTAAAATAATTGTAAAAACATATATTATGTAACAGTATCTGGCAGTTGAACACATATAAAAGGTACTTACACGTATCGATTTGGACAGTACAGTTAAATCTCTCACAGAAAGTTAAAACAACACGAGTTTCGGTTCCATCAATGTAAACATTTTGTAGATCGGAGTCCTTGGTCACACCTAGGTCGCGCGTATTGCTATTAGTTTTCTAGAAACAAAAAAAAATTTGAGTTTGTTTACCCACAAAAGTATATTAAAAAATGTTTCGACAGTTTTTAAGATCTATCACCTCACTGGCCTTATGGGTCGTGCCCGTCTGTACAAGCTCAATTGGAACGTCTAAGATACTTAAATTTAGGCACGCGAAACGTATTTCAGTTGTGATGTATAACATTGTTAAATTTTGTAAGATCGATCACCTCACTGGCCGTATGGGTCGTGCCCGTCTGTACAAGCTCAATTGGAACGTCTAAGATATTTAAATTTAAGCCCGCGAAACGTATCCCAGTTGTTATGTATAATATTGTTATATCTTGTTAGGATGCTTTCCGGACGGGATAAAGATTTCAGTCACATTCCGGGGGTTACAATAAAATTTGTTAATCACTGAGACTCTGGGCTAGAGAGGTTTGTCCTTTCAATGAAGACGGTTTTAAAAAAAATTTTTTAAATTTTTTTTTTTATTTTTTTTTTGAATGATCAATATGTCGAGAACATTGTGTAAAAATTTTGAGTCAATTAAAGTCAAACTATAGGAGTTACAGCGTTTTAAACAACCGTATTTGGACGTATTTTCACGTATAAAAATACTTTGAATCGATTTTGCCGAAGACGTTATTTTGAAAGTCGGTGAACATCAGAACTCAAAATCTACTGAGCCGATCCTTTTCAAATTTTTAACACAAATTCTCAATATAAAGCCGCAGGTAATCAGGAAGAGTGTTTTTTAATTTTTTATTTTTTTCTATTTTTAAAAAATAAATTAACAGCGATTTTTTAAGCTAAAATCGCACTTTTCACTTTCAAGTGCTCCCAAAAATAGACAAAAAATAAATTTAAAAAAACTCTTCCTGATGACCTCAGGAAATTCATTATCTTTACAACGCATATCACATTTTATTTTTAAGATCCGTTAACGCCCTATGATGTTCACCGCAAAACAACTTTTTCTTAAGGCGCTTCGGAAGATTAACCGCCACAGGCTTATTTCTTAATATTTTTTAATAATTTTTTTTTTCTAATACTCTTCAAAAGTTAAACAATAACAAGTAATTAAGCTCAATAAAATAAACCTACTCATTTCGCCGCAAAAAAAAAGCAAACATGGCCCTTTTTTGGCCTTTAAAACTTCTAGTATATTATATTTTCATGCATTTCAAAAATGTACACAATCAACATTTCTGTACTTGAACTATTTATTCTAGCAATATACTAGCATTACCTATTTGCAAACGACTTAAACGCTTTATTGGTTTCACAGTAGATTCGCCATTATTTGGCCTTTAAAACCTTACCCCCCCCTTTAATTAATTAATAGCTCGTCCACAGCACCGGTTACACTTTTCCTCTAACCTGGCGTCTGATATTCATGATCTTCAGTGAGTTGCCCTTGCGATCGACCTTGACTCTCTTCTTCACGCACACGTCTTTACTGCGTCTCAGCCTCGTCGAACTGATCTCCCTATCCCTCCCGTGCCCGCACGCTTTTCCTTCCCTTGCTTATGCTTAGCTTAATCTAGTATTGTCTCGGATTTCTGTTATTTTCCCACGAGTTACCTCCCCGGGCGGGGGCTTGTGGGCTGACTAAATCGGGGTTTCTATTATGCTTAGCTTTAACAAAAGATATTTATTATATTTGGCTCCGTGTCGCAAACTTCATGACATTTTATGACAACTTTATCCTTATAACATAAAAATAAAATAGGACTACAGATGATTTCTATTTCTTTTTATACCCTTGCAGAGCAAAAGGGTATTGTAATTTCAGTCATAAGTTTGCAACGCAGTGAAGAAGACACCTCAGACCCCATAAAGTATATATATTCTTGATCAGCATCACCATCTGAATCGAAATACGTCTGTACGTATGTTCGCCTGTCCTCCTGTCTGTTTCTACGCAAACTAGGCTCTCAGTTTTAAAGCAATCTTGCTCAAACTTTACCAAAAGTTGTGTAGTTATTGCACGCAGTATATAAGTCGGAACGGGCCGGATCGGCCGACTATATCGGATAGCTTCCGTATGGAAAGAGGTCAAAAAAATAACGGAAAAAAATAATTCGCCGTTGTTTTTCATCGAATCAACTTGATTTCTTCCAGATAGTGTTTTCTAACTACTATTGAATTGCAGATTAAATTTTATCAAAATCGGATAACTCTATCATATAGCACCCATAGGAAAGCTCAAAAAATGTATATATAATATAAATATTGAAAAAAAATTATAACGTCGTTGTTTTTAATCCTATGAGCATGATTTTTGAAACATCGAGTTTTTCGAATACCATTGAATAGAGAAAAAAAATTCTTAAAAATCAGACTACTATATCATATAGCTACCATAGGAAAGTTCGAAAAATCTATATAGAAATAACGGAAATAAAATGATAACATCGTTGTTTTTCACCAGACAGTCATGATTTTTGGAATGTAGAGTTTTCTAATGATTCTTGAATCTCAAATTAAATTTCATCAAAATAGGACAACTATATCAAATAGCTGTCATATAGTCGAAAATTTGGAAAATTAATAGAAAAAGCGTCTTAGCTTCGATCTTCTTAATCCTTTATGTATTTTGTTTGACATATTTGATGACTTCAAGGGTATATAAGCTTCGGCTTGCCGAAGCTAGCTTCCTTTCTTGTTTTTAACTAGGATAACAACCATAATAAAAATAAAATGAGTATATATATGTCCAAAATAATTGCGAAGGTCTGGCCGTCTGGCTGCACCTTCACAATCTTATTCTGCCATTGATTTTTTATGCGCGTTTTCGTAGAATATACTCGCATAGTGCTCTTTTTTTGAGTTGAAGAAAGCTGTGTATAATATGGTATATATTTTTAAGCAGTTTTATTAAATTTGATCTAGAGCGACCATTTTGGCTCCGCATTTGTCCATCCGTATGAACATTAAGATCTTACAAAATATAAGTGTTTAATTTTAAAATTAACAAGATATAAATTAACAAAATAAACATATTAAAATTTTTTTTTTAAATTACGGTCTTTATCGAACCTTCTCTCAACGAGACTAACGACAAGTATTCAAATCTTCGCCTAATACATATAATTAATTAAATAAAATAAATTTTTTTGGAATAACGGCCCTAGCTATTGTTGCTGGGTGTGGCTAGTTTTTCACGTTAAAGACAGCGCCAGCCTATTTGGATGAGCCTTTAGCTTGTTGGCTTACTTTGCTTTTACTTTGTCGATTTCCGCTTTAACAGATCCAACGCTTAAACCTCTGTTATTGTTCCCAATATCGTTGATTGGGCTCTCTGGATCACTTCTAGGTTACTAACGCATGCATTCCCCATAGCTCGGAGGCATGTTTCCAAAATGGTTTGAGAACTGCATTGTGCAGAAGTACCTTGTACTCCAATTTAAGCGAAGAGTGAGCATTTATTAACCAGTGTAGGCTTCTTGCTTTTAATTTTAGTTGTGCGCTCTTAGCTTCGATGTGCCTTCTCCAGGTAAGCCGTCTATCAAGGTGGACTCCAAGATACGCTACTTCCGTTGTTTGTGGAATATGGATGTTGTTCAGTGATAGTGGGGAGCAAGTTTGTCTATAAAGGGTAAAGGTGACGAGTTTGCACTTTTGCTCGTTAACCTTTATGCGCCAATCTGCTAGCCATTTCTCCAATAGCGCGAAATTAACAGATAAGTTTTACGGTGCACTTAGATCGACATAGAATGGCAGTATCATCAGCAAATGTTGAAGTTTTTGTGAGACTTGTTGTCGGAAGGTCTGCTGTGTTGATTGTATACAACGTTGGTCCAAGCACGCTTCCTTCAGGTACTCCAGCTTTAATGGGATGATATTCAGAGAGGAAATCTTTACATCGTACTGCGACACTTCTATGCCCAAGATATGACTCCAGTATTTTGTCGGTGTTCTGTGGTAGCAAATTTTGAATTTTATAAATCAAGCCGTCCAACAAAACGCGGTTTAAGGCATGGGCTACATCCTAAAAGACTGCGGAACAGTACTCTGGACTTTCATATGTCTTTCGTATCTCGGAGGCCAATCGGTTTACTTGTTCAATGGTTCCGTATTTCTCGCGAAAACCAAATTGGTGGCTTGGGATGGCATTATGGGACTATAGGCGTTCCTTTATACGATTCAGGAGCAGCTTTTAAACTATCTTTGATAGGCAAGGCAGAAGACTGATTGACCTATATGATGAAGGCTGTGACTTGTCCTTTCCAGCTTTATGGACCATAGTGATGACAGACTTTTTCCATTGTTGGGGATAATGGCCCATTTCATAATGCTGTTGAATATCGGGGAAAGAATATTTACTCCACAGTTCGGCAATTCCATAATTATTTTAGGGGAGATTAAATTGTGTTCTGGCGCTTTCTTTTTTTCCTGAGCCTCTATCACTCAGGGCAGGCAGGGTAGCCTCTAGAGTGATGTTTGTTGGGAGCACAAAGCTATTTGTTGATGGAAGCAGTTTGAAATCGTTTTCTAGATGTGCAGCAAATACATTTGCCCTCTCACCTGTTCGTGTGTGTAATGACGATTCGCTTTCGATTGGTGCACATTAGAGGTGGAGAACTATCGATAGTCTGCACCATCGATAGCGCTTGATAGTTTTCATAAACTATCGACTATCGGCGATAGCAAAGAAAATCTATCGTCGATAGTTGTCGATAGTGCAGAGTACACTCAAAAATAAAAGTTTAATTAGTGTTTCTAATGATATTTATTTATATATAAAGTATTTATTTATAAAGTATGTCATTGGTTTTCCAATCCTTCGAATTATATGATTTTTTTTTTTTTAGGCTTACCTTAACTGCTTTCTATAAATTTATATATGTTCGGCATTTTCCTTTAATTAAATGTATACTTTTATTATTATGTATTTATCTTTGTGAAAAAGAAACGCATGTACAGTGGTGGCCATAAGTATTTTGTCAAAATAAAAGTGAAATATACTCGAAACCTGAACTTGCCTCTTTTAACTTTTGGTATCGATGGATA